TTCCCCCGCCAGACTTTCCCATCGTCGGCACCGACTCCGATGATGACGCGGTTGATGAGCAAGACGAGCTCCGATCGCAAGTCGGCTTTGATGGCACACAAAGAGACTCGTCTTCAAACAGCACGACCGCCTCCGTTGCCGGCTCGAATGCACCTTCAAATACAATGGCTGGTCCTGTGATTCCTTTTCAGCTTCTCAAGGGTACTTGGATCCGCAAAGTGTCCAAGAAGAACCGGGGGAAGCGATTCATACTTCTTCTGGAGCCAGACGCCGCCAAGATCTCGTGGGACCGAGCTCGTCCTCACAAGGCCCTCTACATCGACGACATTAAAGAGATCAGGGTCGGCTCTGATATTCGACAATACCGACTCGACTTTGGCGTGCCAGAATCGGAAGAGCCCCGCTGGTTCTCTATTTTGTACGCCGTGCCCGACAAGTCCAAGAGCAAAATGATGCATCTCATTGCCGATGATGCCAGTGTCTTCTACAACTGGGTCACCACCCTAGAGGCCATTTCGAAGCATCGCCAGGATCTCATGTCCTCGCTCATGGCCTTCAATGACCGGGCGATCCGCGACTACTGGCGCACCGAGATGGCCAAGCAGTTCGCTGATAAGCCTCACTCCCCTGACGACGAAGATCTCAACTTTCAAGGCGTCCAGGACGTCTGTCGAAAATTGCACATCCATGCGTCGCCCAGCCAGCTTCGCGCAAAGTTCCATGCAGCTGACACCCCCAAGACCGGTCGCCTTAACTACTTTGAGTTTCAAACATTCGTCGGCTACATGAAGAGGAGAGACGATATTCGTCAAGTATACCTACAGACGGCGAGGGCTCCCGAGGCCGGCCTCTCGCTGAACGAGTTCTATGACTTCCTGCGCAATGTACAGGGGGAGGATGTTGATGCCGACCTCGCCGGATGGGAGGCATTGTATCTCAAGTTCACCCGCAAGTTCAAGCCCAAGGACGCGCCATCGGACAATTTTGGCATGAGTGATGCCGCCTTCGCTGCTTATCTCACTTCGACATACAACGTCCCCCTGGCCAAGGAGCCCAAGGAGTATACTCTGGATCGGCCCATGAACGAGTACCTTATCTCGAGCTCTCACAACACGTACCTCTTGGGAAGACAAGTGGCAGGGTTCTCTAGCGTTGAGGGCTATATCGCTGCCCTCGCACGAGGGCTGTCGGTGTGTCGAGGTCGACTGCTGGGATGGGAGCTGACGGCCAACCTACCGTAAACCACGGCCGGACGCTAACCTCATCTATCGGTTTCCAGGAAACCATGACGACCATCAACAAGTACGCGTTTGTCAAGACGCGTTACCCGCTCTGGATTTCTCTTGAGGTGCACTGCAACCCGCAACAGCAGGCTATCATGGCACGAATCATCAAGGAGACCTTTGGGGCCCGCCTCGTCACAGAACCCCTGGATCCTACAGCTGACAAGCTTCCTTCTCCTGAGGAGCTTAAGGAGCGTATCCTGATCAAGGTCAAGAAGCCCATGTCGAAGGAGGAGCCAAAACTCCCCGAACCCGGCCGCAGGCGTGGCAACAGCCTCACGTCGCCCTATGCGAAACCTGTTCAACTAGACAACAACGTCATCCCGTCTCAGTCGCTTCCGCAAAGCCCACTCCTCAGCCCAAGCAACTCGTCGCGCCGCCTGGTTAGCAAGAGCCGTGTCAACACCATCACTGAGGGTGAAGTCCAGGGACACCATGAGCAGCAGCACGAGCGATAACGACAGCGCAGGCGAGAGGGCACCATCGAAGCGGAATTCACCCAACAAGACGGTCAAGGTCCTCGGCGATCTTGGTGTCTACTGCGCGGGTGTCAAGTTTGGCGGGTTCGACACAGCTGACGCGAAGGAGTACAACCACATTTTTTCCTTCATGGAATCGAGCTTTGAAAAGCACAGCAGGCCCAAAGAGGCGAAGCAGGCCATGGACCGACACAACATGCGCTACCTGATGCGAGTTTACCCTGATCGATACCGATACCAGTCGACCAACTTTGATCCTCTAGTCTACTGGCGAAGGGGCGTGCAGATGGCCGCCATGAACTGGCAGACATTCGACTTGGGCATGCAACTCAACCAGGCCATGTTCGACAGCGGTACTGATCGGTCCGGATATGTCCTCAAGCCTAGCGAGCTTCGTGAAATCCAAGTGCTCCCTGAAGGCTGGTCCGGCAAACGCGAGCGCAAGGAGGTTACCTTCAGCATCGATGTCGTCTCCGCCCAGCAGCTGATGCGCCTAACGCATGGCTGCGTCCAAGACTGTGGACCCCTTTGTTGAGATTGAGGTCTTCCACGCCAACGATAAGAGGAACAAGAAAGAGACGGAACCCGCTCTTTCGGCAGTCTCAGACACGCCACTTAAGTACCGCACCGGCGTGATCCCCGAGAACGGTTTCAACCCCGTCTTCGATGCCAATGCAACTTCAAGGTGGACGACTAAGTACCCAGATCTCATCTTTGTCGATGTCTGTCAAGCTGTCG